TGCTTTTAAGTTATCTTAACTTTTGTCCACATCATTTAACAAATTTGTGTCAATACTACTTCTCTCCTAACTTAATCCTTTTAATATGTTTGCAAAAGCGTCCTGACAGTCCCACATATTTAGTAATTCTGTGTCTGTGTACTGAACAGCTTTGAAAGATACTCCCGAATTATAACTTAGTCTAAGTTGACTTATTCTTTATCTCATCGTGACAATTAAAATCATGTGGTATGACGAAGCTCTAAAAATTGAGAAGTGCTAGATATGCTTTATTTGAGATTATCCATAAGCCATACTGAAATGCCCTTCGTGCATCAAAAAGCAACATGTTCATCACAGGGAATTAAAACTTAGTTTCTTAATTTCAGGCTCCCTGCTTCAGCTCTCACCTTCTGACACACGAAGGCATGTTGGTCAATGAACATAAATTCAAGTATCAGTTAGGCTTATTTACTCTACCCTGTGAAATACTGGAGATGTTCCCAGTAATTTAAAGATAGTCCCAGTTTACAACCAGATACATAAATCTAAAAAAAAAAAAAAAAAAATCAGTATTCTCTAGGTTTTGAGATCTCAACAACCACCTCTGTGAAAATACTGCTGAAGTATAATCTAACTTCAGGTCAAACAGAATTTTTAGAAAAAGATAGGACTTACTGAATAACAAATTACTATCAAAATATAGAAAGCATGATCATATTAATGTAATCCCAGATCCATCTTATTTATAATACAATTGTTCAACAAAAATTATATGTACTCTGTGTAGGAGAGCAACTTAAATCTAAAATTATAATTTATATAAAAATACACAAAAATAGTAAGGAGACATTTCTGTATTATAATAAAAAAGTTAGTGGTCAGCTGCTATTCGTTGTGCTTATTTTGAGATAAGCTTTTCTCCCTTCTCTTAATGACACAGCTCCCTCTGGCCCTACTTTCTGGGGTTCTGGGCCTACTCCACCAGTGTGTCTTCTCCCTAGGAAATGGCTCTGCTCTCACTGGCATCCACAGAGGGAATGTGGGGGCCCGACCCATCTTCCATCCAACAGCCCACACGTGGGCATTTCTGTGCTCCTGCCCTTCTTGATAGTGTTGCACTGGACACAACACGTATCTACACAGAAGTCTTTCTGCCCTTCTCCACACTGAATTCCCCCATCTGGCTGAGCCTGCCGGGCAAGGTTCGACCCTGAGCAGCTAGCTGGTTGCCCTGCTTCCCCCTCTAACATCACTTACCTGCTTATCACTATATATAGATTTTATGTTCATCCTGTAACAAAATACATTACTTATTAATTCTGATACATTTTTAGGCATTTTTATTTGGATTAAGCTAAATAACTACTTGCAAATAATGATAGGTTCAGATCTTCCTTCCTAAAATTTATACCTCTCACTTTTTTTCTTTATTTTACCACATTGACTGAACCTCCAAAATAAGCCTAAAAAACAAGGATGATAGACACAGCCTTGTCTTATCCCTAACTTCAATGAGAATGGTAGTTACGACATTTGCCACTGGCTTCCGGTATCTGTAACTAAATTGAAAAAGTAGCTTAGTTCTTCTGATAGAGTTTATACAGATTTGAGGAATATGCAAGATGATCAAGCTTTGAGGCTAATCTGTTCTTTGAAGAACAAAACCAAAGACAATCTGTCTTGTAGTTTCCTGTCCTACAGGGAAGGAGAAGATGGACAATAAAATGAAAATAAAGCATGGCAGCCAGCTCCCAAATGACTCTCAATGACCTTACCTCCTGTATGCACACCTCTGCCTCTGTTCAGTCTTCCTGTACGTTACACAGGGCTGATGGATGTAACCAACAGGATGATGTGGAAATGAAGGAGTGTGACTTCCAAGGCTTGGTCATGCAAGACACGGCAGCCTACCTCTTTGCTTTCTTCCCCTGTCTTTTTCCACCCACCCTTCTCCCCTGTCTCTTCATCACTCTCTGACCTGGCTCTGGGGGAAGTCAGCTACCATGTCACAAGAACATCCAAGGTGACCAACAGTGAGGCCGCGTGGCAAGAAACTGAGGCCTCTTTGCCAATGGCCATGTGACTGAGCCACCTTGAAAGTGAATCCTCCACCTTCAGTCGAGCCTCCCGCTGACACCTTGCCTGCAACCACATGACACACGGGGAGCTAGAGGCACTCAGATAAGCCGCTCGCAGTCCACAGAGACTGTGAGAGGATCAGTGCTTGCAGTTTCCAGCTGGTCAGTTTTGGGGTAGTCCGTTATGCAGCCGTAGACAACAAATAGAGAAGGTATCTGAAACCAACTCTGAAAGATACTGGGATGGCCACAGGGCTAAAACTGCAGCATGTTCCAGTTCCAACTTCCAAGAATAATGTGGTAATGCATTAAAAATAAGACATACGTTTTACCAGCAAACTCACTTTAGAGAATTGATTTGTCTAAAGAAAATGCCCCACAATAGGGGAAAAGCCTTTAAGCAAAAATATGTGGTTTTTTTTGTTTTTACGAAATAATGTATTTAAATTTTTTTCAAAAATATTTAGGTATCTAAGATTGAGGGTTAGGTAAATATGCAGCAGTTAAAAACTAGGTTTATAAAGTTTTAAAAGACATATAATATTATCTAACACTTAAAAATATTATATGCCAGGCACTTTCTTGGATCTTCACATTTATTAACTTACATCTACTGATCTCTATAATAATCTTATGAGACTACGACTGTTCTTCACCCCATAGGCAGATGGAGAAACAGGTAGAGAGGGGTTACAGAACCTGTGCAGATCATACAGGTCTAAGTGGGGAAAGTGGAATGTGAACCTGCCTAGTCTGGTCCCACAGCGATATGCCATGAGCCTCTTGCCGTGCTGGCTATCAGTGCTTCAGCTCTGAAAGTAAGTGAAAGCCCCATCTCCACAGTGGGATCATAACTCTGTTAAAAACTACGCAAGGAGAAATGAACGAGCAGAAATGTTAAATAGGGATTATCTTACAGTCGTGGAACAATAGATAATGTTTTCTTAATTACCCTTTCAGTTACTTTCCAAATATTTTACAATCAGCTATAGTATTTTCCCAGTCATAAAAATGATAGAAGGAAGAAAATAAACCTTAAAAGAGAAAAAAAATCCGCTAGTAATTTCTACAGCCCTGGCAGCATGGATTCCTTAGGAAATTCCTACCCAGAGATGAAATCCCTTCTAGGTGGCTACCTTTCTCTAAGGGAAGAGTTAAAAGTGTTATTTTTGTGGTGGGAGGAAAACACGGCTTGGAGAGAGTCCTAGACTTTGTGCTCTAACACATATCTTCTGTTTTTACAGCTGATTTCTGGGGTAGGTTGCAGACGGATCCTCGGAGTCCATGCCATGCTGGCTACCATTACTGTACGCCGGGCAGGATGCACAGTCCGTCACACAGCTGTGCTCACCTGGACCTCACAGGCACACTCTGGAGTTGGTACCGTTATTGTCTCCGTTCATAGCCGCAGCTGCTGAGGCTTGGGAGAGGTTATGTAACTGGTCTATGGAACACACTCCTGAGTGGTACGGCACTTCTCCCCAGTAGGCTACCTCATTTCCAGGAAGTAATTTATACTGTACAATGCACAAAATGCACTGTATTATAACCTTTTGGTTTAAAAAATACTCATTTATGCACATGTAAAGGACATACAAAAGGACACAGTTAATCAATGGCTACACTGGGATTAAAACTGGGAATTCTATAGTCTAGTCTCAAAATCATGATTTCCTAATAGAGGCAGAGTGGCCTCCTACGATGAAGGTCCCAGAGCAGCCGGGAAAGGACAACTCTGCCTCATTTACCAACATCACTGCCTTTGAAAAAAGGGGATTAACGAAGAATTAAAGAGGCGCTCCTTGGTGCCTGCCTTCAGGGACTCCTCAGGCTACAGGCGGGCCCACAAAACAGCAAACAACTTCTCAGAGCAGGGGGCTGTTCTCCTGAGACTCAAGCCACCTATCTCTGGAGAACAACACCTGTATCAAAAACATTTGGACCCAGGCATCCCACGACTGCCTTAGGGTTTGTTAACTCATTAAATGTTTGCCACCACCTGGAGAGCGAATCCAGAGTGTCTGAGCCTTTAGGGTCACTGAACAAGAAGCATCAAAGATCGAATGGATTCCTGCTGTGGCCATAATCAAATTTTCTCTGGGAATTTACATTGGGATGTAGAAGCCAACCTCCCCCTTTGTATATATATTTTTTTTCTATTGACATATTCATTGTAGCACTGAAAACAAGAGTCATTTCCCTCTGGGGCTCAATTAACATATCCTGTTCCTGTAATACAACTATGAGGAATCAGGTATCTCCTCAGGCTGAGTCGTCCTAATTCTACTACGTTACTTTTACCTAAATAATAACTACTGCTGGGGCTCCTGGGTGGCTCTGTTGGTAAAGCATCTGCCTTCGGCTCAGGTCATGATCCCAGGGTCCCGGGATCGAGTCCTGCATCGGGCTCCCTGCTCCACAGGGAGCCTGCTTCTCCCTCTCCCTCTGCCCCTCCACCCACTTGTGCTCTCTCTCTCTCTCTCTCTCTCTCTCTCAAATAAATAAATTAGAAGTTCTATATTGTTTCATAGTTTCACTTCACAGAACAGTGATAACGGTTCAGCTGAAAGGTTTTAAAAATGTGAATACTCGTGCTTAAAGTAAAGGCATCTAACCAAAATAGTACATAAATGCTTGTCCAGAATGTAAGCAGTAGTTATTATTTAGTAGCTTTTTAATTAATTTTTTAAAAAATTTTTATTTACTTAACAATACCACAAAATGCACCATATTTTAATGAGCCTTTTCTGGAGTTAAGAAATTAAGCTTGCCTAATCTAATCTGCCAGAAGATTAATTTCTTCTCCTTTCTTTTCAGTATCTATTCAAAGCAATCTACAGCCGCCTCATAAGTCCCCTCTCAAGAACTGTAAGCAAAAAATTTCTGGGCAGTAACACGGGAGGGGCCGGGGGAGAACAGAGCTCTGTGGGGGCCACTCACCAGCTATGGCACCGGCCAAGAGCAGGCTTCCGGGGCTAACCTGCCCACCTTCACTTGCAAAGGAAGCCTTCACATGAGCATAGCACGGGAAGTAGATGGCCGAGAAAGGAATGTCCCGCAGAAAGCATGCTTTGGCGCCCTGTGCATTTGAAAAGGAAGAAAAACCACATGAAACACATATCCCATTGAGAAGATCAAGCTTTTCTGGAACTTACCTCAGAACAAAATATTCCTGGAGGAGACCAAGTTTGTACTCACAAGTTGAAAGGGGAACAGAAAAAAAATAACCCCAATTCTGCAAGTAATAAATCTGAATTCTCTTTTTAAAAATAAAACTAATCTTATTGTGTGGTTTGAGCAAGAAGGGGATAGTTCTCATTTGTTCCAATGATAAGATTTTGATTTAAACACTTTTGGAACTCTGCGTGCAACATCCTTTTAAATCCCTACTGATGGCAAGTCACTCACTGGCGTTTCAGGGAGTATCTGTTCTCAGAAGATGGGCAGCAACAACCAAGGTACTCCTCTGTTTACATACTAGGAAGTAGACAAATTATATAGGTGGCAGGGGGAGAGGTTTGTTTTTTTGTCTTGTTTGAGACTCTGATGAAAGTGCTGGACTCTTTCCCAGAAAAAATTACACATACGTAAAAAATTATATACCTTTTCAAGGGATTCATGGATCCCCTAATTTATTCACATACTTACCCCTTCTCCTCCAGGGTATGAAACATTGATAAATGCTTGTTCTAAAGCCTTAAAATATTTACAATAATTCCTACCCATTTAAGAGCTGTGTGTAGAGCAATTAGCAACTAGAGCAAAGTCTTCAAATAATTTCTGGTGCCAAAATAATGCATGGGGAGACCTTGAGAACTGGTGCGTGCCCAGAAACATAGCATTCTAATGAAAACCACAAGACATATACTGTGTCATAGGCAGGCTAAATGGGAAGGAAGTCACCCCTTTTCAACACCTAATGATTTAATACCATTTCTTTCACAGATTTCTCATACCTAAAAATTTCCACCAAATTGAGAGATTCTTGAAAGAAAATAACGACTCCATCCAGATTCAACAGATCTAGCCCAGCCCAGTGACATTTAGTAAGGTTGAGTGATGCTGGATCTCGGGGATTTTTGCCTGAAGCTAGGCTCCATTCTGTCAAAGTTCCTAACACTACACATCTGTTACTATAGCTTTGGCTTTCTGACACCATCATTACACTCCTGACTCACATTGAGACTGTGGGTAATAAAACCCCTAGTCTTTTTAATACAAATTGCCATTAACCTAGGGATACTGTAAGTTAATTAGTTGCCTTAAGTAAGTAACATAAGCAGGGCTTTGTTTCATCCTAGTAAACTTCATCCTAGATTGGCCTATCCTATAACTAGAACAAATGCTTAGAATCTGGATTCTGTCTTGCTCGCTTTTCCTCAGTCAACTTACCCATGGATGTGTTAAGATACCTCTGTCCATTCTGTATAGATATTCAGAAAAAGGGGCAGGGGGGGAGCAGATCTACATCATGTACTGCCAATCGACCCACACTTCTGTAACTTGTCTATCCCCAAACTGTTAAATGCCTAACTGAAGAACCACAAAATCCACCACACCCAAATTCTCCTTTTATATATATGTACAAACGGATGCCCAGAATGATTATTAATCTATCAATTGCACATTTATTAAGGGCCACACTAATGGCTTGCTCAGGGGACATCCTTGGAGGCAGAACCAGAGATAGGTCCAAAACACAGGAAAGGACTCTCAAATCCCCCCCCCAACACACACTTTTTCAAGGGGGAAAAGTACAGGAGAATGACAGGATCCATGCGCACATCCAGTCCTTCCCTTACGATCAGTTAATGTGGGCGGGCAAGACCCTCACCTGGCTGTTTCACTATTTTTTACTTCCGTTGCCTCATTTGCCTCCAGACCTTCCTGTAAGTGCCATTAGCCCTTTACTGCAGGGCAGACTCTGTTCAGGAGATATTCAAATTAGATGCCAAAGAACCAATTCAAATGAAGATCAGTGAAGTCTTTTTTTTAATTTTTATTATTTTTATTTTTTTTATTTATTTGACAGAGAGAGAGAGGGAACACAAGCAGGGGGAACAGCAGAAGGAGGGGGAGAAGCAGGCCTCCCGCAGAGCAAGGAGCCCGATGCGGGGCTCGATCCCAGGACCCTGGGATCATGACACGAGCCGAAGGCAGACGCTTAACCAACTGAGCCACCCAGGAGCCCCCAGTGAAATCTTCTTCACGCACAACTCTATATAGTAAAAGAAACACTGCCATATTACTGGCTTTCTAAACAGATCTCTTTGGAGTAATTTTTTAGGCTGATACAATTCTTCCTCCCACAAATCTTGCTTTTTACTAAATCTATCAGTTTTTACTTTTAACCTCTTCTCCCAAATCTTCACATCTAAGAGCCAAACTTCAGTCTGTTTTTTTGCTGGTAATAGTTTTCCTTTAAAATGTTTTCTCCCCCTTGATTATAAAATATTAACTGCTCATCACAGACAATACAGAAAAGCATTAACAATTTAAATTGCTTAATCTTCACCAGCCAGGGATAACCAATATAACCAAAAATGTTTTTGGAGCATTTCCTTCAACAGTAATATTAGTAAGTATTCCATACTTGAGACCATCATCCTGTGGTTCTGAGTTATCCTTTTCTTCTCCTTAAATTCATGGTGTACGGTTTTGTGGGTTTTTTGTTGGCGGGGTGGGTGGAAAGGTAGGGACTGGTATGGTTTAACATCTCCTTCATTACTTAGCCATTCTGCCTAAATTTCCTTTCTATTTATTGTTTGCAAAACTCTACGGCCATCTTTGGTCTTAGCTGTCCTGTGAATTAGGCCCCGTATTCTCACCCTTCTCAAAACTTTGTAATGACTTCACTTTCCCATTTTCCTCTCCTTGGTCAGCCTGGTTCCTCTCAGGTAAAGCCACTCAATGCCCCATTCATCTGATCAATCCAGGTATACCCTGCAACTACCTTGATGATTGCTAAGCTGGGAACGTCAACTCCCTGAATATCACCTCTTCATTCATTTAAAGCCCAAATACCACCCTTCCCACGGAGGATTCTTTAACTAGAGGCAGACGGGGAGTGAATTCCATACAGCTCCACACTGTCTGCACTTTCTCAATGCTGTTCTGATTTTCTTCATGCTCTTCTATCTGCCTATATCAATGTTGCCTATTTCAGAGAGTAAGCACCCAGGGGCCAGGAACCAGGGGCTAGAGAACACTCAGCAAAATCTCTGGCTGTCAGTTGGGCCTAAGGCATGTTCTGGTGACATTGATTTGACTCTGCCAAGTCACACAGAAACAACAACAACAACAACAACGCACAATTAAAAAGATTAACAAGAGGCTTTGGGATACACTGTCAGGCTCCTACAAGGAAAACGAACTCATTTCTTGGAGATATATATTAGAAACCAAAGCCAAGCTCTTAGTATTTTCAAACAAAGATCTATAATTTGTTGGGAACGATACAACAGAGCTAAGGTTAAAGTAGTTGATGATTTTGTATTGGAATATGAAAAGTGTAAAAAAGGAGAGAAAGACAGCTCTGAGCCTCTCTGATGCTTACATGGTTTCAAGATGATCAGAAGGCCACGGGAAGCAGCAGCTGGTTTCCCAAGAAGGAAAGCTCCCCCCTGTCCTGAAATCATGGCAATAAACCCTGTATCTGTGTGAGAACACGTGTCTAGTAAGGGGTGCAACATGCTTAAAAAGATGTTTGAAAACATTCCTGATGCCTGAGAAGAAAAAATGGGCTGATCAAAACACAAGCGAGCAAACATACAAAAAAGAACAAATCTAAGGAAAAAGCAGAGCTGCACTGTGAAACACCAAGGGAAAAATGGATCTGGAAGATATATTTTTCCTACCTGAAATCAGACAATGTCGTCAAGTAATTTATGCGTGTTAGAGGGAAGACTGGACCATGAAAGAGGTCACAGGTTTCTGATTATCTCAGAAAAGGGAGAAGGAAAAGCCAAGGAAGAAAGAAAACCTGTGGGGCCAGGGGCTGGCTTAGGAATAAATGGTGGAAAAACCACGCAAGTCCCGAGGAGGTGTCACCCGCACTACCAACGTCAAGATGGTGGGAAGGAGTAGGTGTGGATGTCCCTGGCTCTCCTGGCACTCTCTGGAGTCAGGGCGGGCCCGCGGCCTCTCTCACACCCCAGGCATCAAAGCCCAGTTCCCAAGGAGAGTTAATGTTGCAAAAGGTTGGAGAAAAAAACTTCTTACGTTTCCCCCGCCTTCTTTTCCCCCACTCCTTTCTTCAGGTCTAAGGCACAAAGGCAGGTGCCAATTTGTCAGGCTGCCTCGGGCAACATCTGACCTGTGGCTCCAGCACAATGAAAAGGGAAGCAGGATGTGAAAAAGGCTTTTAAAGTTCCAATGGTGAGAATGTTTCTCTCCCAGATTCCTTGATAAATCCTTCACTTCATGGTGAGTACCCATTCTCCAGTCCACCATCACAACACGGAACCCTTCTGACTTGAAATCTACTTGCCCCACGTCTGATCTTTCCTAAGCGATCAGCCATTCTGAACAGGCAACTTTATAATCAAAGGCAACATTCCATGCTCCCAAGAGCCTGCGTCAGCAACACAGAAATGATTACTTTGGCCATTAAAAAATTAATAAATTACAAAGTGTGTGCCACCTAAAATAAATCTTTAAATGTTCTTGCCCTATAAGAAAATCCCCACATTTTCCTGCCTTAAGTCTTTCTCACTGGTTCTCTGGGCAACTCTGCCCTCAGACATTCTCTGGTCAGCCCTGCATTTCCTCCAAACACACAGTAAAATCACTTGGGGGAAATTCATAAATGCAAAATGCAATCATCTAATCTCTTACTATTCATTAAAGCACTTTCTCCAAAGAGGGAAAATTACTGGTTTTTTATTTCCTTTTTAACAAAAGGCCCACTAATAACAGACAGGAACAATAAAAGGCATCTCAGGGGAGACCTATATATAAATAAACCAGAATCAAAACTCAAATCTAGTTTAATTCTCCACTCTGGCTCCATTCCTATTCTGTATCATTCTAAGGCCTCTCGTCATCATTCTATTTTAGAAGTCCAGGAAAACTTCAAGG